TGGCATATCCTTAACCTACGAAAATTTCTCTTTAAGATAGACTAGTTTAATTAGAGCTACAGTCAATTTTAAAAAATAGGGTTTTAAAAAAATTATGCAAAGAGGGGGGTCTTCTCATTGTATCGAAATATGTTTTTAGCGATATCTTCTAAACTAATAGAGATAAAGAGGATCGAATGGCATATCCTTAACCTACGAAAATTTCTCTTTAAGATAGACTAGTTTAATTAGAGCTACAGTCAATTTTAAAAATAGGGTTTTAAAAAAATTATGCAAAGAGGGGGGTCTTCTCATTGTATCGAAATATGTTTTTAGCGATATCTTCTAAACTAATAGAGATAAAGAGGATCGAATGGCATATCCTTAACCTACGAAAATTTCTCTTTAAGATAGACTAGTTTAATTAGAGCTACAGTCAATTTTAAAAAATAGGGTTTAAAAAAAATTATGCAAAGAGGGGGGTCTTCTCATTGTATCGAAATATGTTTTTAGCGATATCTTCTAAACTAATAGAGATAAAGAGGATCGAATGGCATATCCTTAACCTACGAAAATTTCTCTTTAAGATAGACTAGTTTAATTAGAGCTACAGTCAATTTTAAAAATAGGGTTTTAAAAAAATTATGCAAAGAGGGGGGTCTTCTCATTGTATCGAAATATGTTTTTAGCGATATCTTCTAAACTAATAGAGATAAAGAGGATCGAATGGCATATCCTTAACCTACGAAAATTTCTCTTTAAGATAGACTAGTTTAATTAGAGCTACAGTCAATTTTAAAAATAGGGTTTTAAAAAAATTATGCAAAGAGGGGGTCTTCTCATTGTATCGAAATATGTTTTTAGCGATATCTTCTAAACTAATAGAGATAAAGAGGATCGAATGGCATATCCTTAACCTACGAAAATTTCTCTTTAAGATAGACTAGTTTAATTAGAGCTACAGTCAATTTTAAAAATAGGGTTTTAAAAAAATTATGCAAAGAGGGGGGTCTTCTCATTGTATCGAAATATGTTTTTAGCGATATCTTCTAAACTAATAGAGATAAAGAGGATCGAATGGCATATCCTTAACCTACGAAAATTTCTCTTTAAGATAGACTAGTTTAATTAGAGCTACAGTCAATTTTAAAAATAGGGTTTTAAAAAAAATTATGCAAAGAGGGGGGTCTTCTCATTGTATCGAAATATGTTTTTAGCGATATCTTCTAAACTAATAGAGATAAAGAGGATCGAATGGCATATCCTTAACCTACGAAAATTTCTCTTTAAGATAGACTAGTTTAATTAGAGCTACAGTCAATTTTAAAAAATAGGGTTTTAAAAAAATTATGCAAAGAGGGGGGTCTTCTCATTGTATCGAAATATGTTTTTAGCGATATCTTCTAAACTAATAGAGATAAAGAGGATCGAATGGCATATCCTTAACCTACGAAAATTTCTCTTTAAGATAGACTAGTTTAATTAGAGCTACAGTCAATTTTAAAAATAGGGTTTTAAAAAAATTATGCAAAGAGGGGGTCTTCTCATTGTATCGAAATATGTTTTTAGCGATATCTTCTAAACTAATAGAGATAAAGAGGATCGAATGGCATATCCTTAACCTACGAAAATTTCTCTTTAAGATAGACTAGTTTAATTAGAGCTACAGTCAATTTTAAAAAATAGGGTTTTAAAAAAATTATGCAAAGAGGGGGGTCTTCTCATTGTATCGAAATATGTTTTTAGCGATATCTTCTAAACTAATAGAGATAAAGAGGATCGAATGGCATATCCTTAACCTACGAAAATTTCTCTTTAAGATAGACTAGTTTAATTAGAGCTACAGTCAATTTTAAAAATAGGGTTTTAAAAAAATTATGCAAAGAGGGGGTCTTCTCATTGTATCGAAATATGTTTTTAGCGATATCTTCTAAACTAATAGAGATAAAGAGGATCGAATGGCATATCCTTAACCTACGAAAATTTCTCTTTAAGATAGACTAGTTTAATTAGAGCTACAGTCAATTTTAAAAAATAGGGTTTTAAAAAAAATTATGCAAAGAGGGGGGTCTTCTCATTGTATCGAAATATGTTTTTAGCGATATCTTCTAAACTAATAGAGATAAAGAGGATCGAATGGCATATCCTTAACCTACGAAAATTTCTCTTTAAGATAGACTAGTTTAATTAGAGCTACAGTCAATTTTAAAAAATAGGGTTTTAAAAAAATTATGCAAAGAGGGGGGTCTTCTCATTGTATCGAAATATGTTTTTAGCGATATCTTCTAAACTAATAGAGATAAAGAGGATCGAATGGCATATCCTTAACCTACGAAAATTTCTCTTTAAGATAGACTAGTTTAATTAGAGCTACAGTCAATTTTAAAAAATAGGGTTTTAAAAAATTATGCAAAGAGGGGGGTCTTCTCATTGTATCGAAATATGTTTTTAGCGATATCTTCTAAACTAATAGAGATAAAGAGGATCGAATGGCATATCCTTAACCTACGAAAATTTCTCTTTAAGATAGACTAGTTTAATTAGAGCTACAGTCAATTTTAAAAATAGGGTTTTAAAAAAAATTATGCAAAGAGGGGGGTCTTCTCATTGTATCGAAATATGTTTTTAGCGATATCTTCTAAACTAATAGAGATAAAGAGGATCGAATGGCATATCCTTAACCTACGAAAATTTCTCTTTAAGATAGTTTCAGTAAAAGGTCGAAAAACGCGACTAAAAGTGTTAAAAAGTGACATTTTTCAATTTTTGCCCATTTTATTCAATCGCAAATATCTCGTAAGCTAAAAGAGATAAATACAATGTTTCTATCACGTGAAATTTAAATAAATATTACAGTTTTGTACACAAATGCAATAAATCTAACCTATATATGGCATGATGTTTAAATAAAGCTGCGTTTTTTTAAGTTTGTTTGCAATATTAAATCATAAATCGTATCGTATAAGCGCTTGTCTTGCAACAATTAAATACAACCGGATAGAATATTTAATTTTGCATGTTTGGAGCCCGCGCTCAAGTATGTAAGACGTTACTCTCAATAATAAAAAAATTAAATTATTTAATGCTAACTCTTTAGTAGAAGGCGGTGGACCGCGACAAAAAAAACACGTAAACGCAAAGTAATGATCGACGCAGAAAATGAAACGAAATATATAATTGAATTATAAACTTACCAATGCAGATCAGACTCCATGGCACGGGGAACACTGTAAATAAAAAAAGAAAACATAAGTAATATTATATTCACACAGCAGAAAAAAAAAACAATCTGTACTGTTTAGTGAAAAGTTACTTACATCAGCACAATGGGTCTTCCAAAGAATGCATAAATCAACATGGCCGCGATACACTTACGCGCAAATAATAAATAATTGTACTAAAGTTTGGAAAGTAGAAGTCCGGATAAACTATACGAGTCGCGCAAAATACTGGATCAACCAGAGACCGGCACGAAACTGGCCGCAGACTACATAAGCAACGACGCGGCAGTTTTTGATAAGAAAGCAAGCGGTGCGCAAGGCCGGCGCGTCGATGGCATGCGACCATGTGCGCGTATTGCAATAGATGCGCAAACCCGGTGGCGCGTCGATGGCACGCGACCATGTGCGCAAATTGCATTTGGCACTTTACCTGGGATCAAAACTAAACTAAGATGCAGCAACATGCGGCATGGGGTACGGACAACGACGACACACGGAAATGCGATAATAAAATGTATATTGTGTTCAAACAAACAATTCTTGTGTCGAAGGTTCACGCTTGCTGATAAATATAGAAATAAACAAAAGGTTTATTTTACAATTTTTTGTCCATGCTATAAATGATATAGTTGTTTCGATATTTAGATTTAGATTAGTAAGGGTAATAATTAAAATTTGATTTGAGTAATTCTGATTTCTTATGCTGACAGATTGCCAGATTTTACATTGAATATTTAAGTGATATTTAATTTGAACATGCATCGTTTCTCGTTTACCAGGTAACACATTAGTCCGTAATCATCTGCTGATAATAAAAATGTTTTGCATTCTTGATGGTTTTTATAATAAATTATTAGAATTAATATAAAATTGATATATTCATGAAAGAAAAAGAATATTTGCTTACGATGCGAATATAATAAACAGCAACGGTGTGTTTTGATTCCACGAAATAAAGATTCGATACTTGCAGGTAAACACACTTATCTCTTGAGCGAAATCGCGTGATTCACACGGACACGGTGTGCACTCACTACCACCAACAAGCAATATTTAATGCAAAACCGTACATCGTGGCGCCATCTAACCTTTTAAAATATTTATCAACTTAATAATATTCTAAACACAATTATCAAATATGCAACAAGGTTGATATTGCAATGAAATTGAAATCATCGAAAGTCATACACCAAACAAATTTTCAATTTTTTCGATTGCGAATATCTCGTAAAGTATTATAAAGTACTCGAATCTAGAAATACAAAATGAAACAAATAAATATTAAAAACAGGAAAATGAGAAATACGTTTCTAAAAATACGTTTCTGTATACAAGCATTGATATAAAACTAAAGGAGACATCGATGTCAATTGGAATATGTAATTACATACTCCATGCGGTTGAAAAAAATAATTCCACCGAAGAAGCGATATACGGAAAAGTTTAAATGTTGTGTCAGCACTGAATGCTTCAGCGGTAATACTATAATTTTATTGCAAATAAAACTCTACTTGCCATTTATAAAAATCCCCGGAAACCACGTAAAAAAAACTCAAACATACTGACGATAATTTACTCACACTGACGGTGTCACTCTTACGACGCTCTGCCGCAATGCGCACAAGTTTGCGCGTAGTCGCCTAGTGTATGCTGGGCTGCAGACCTGCGGTCATAGCGAGATCCGGGTTGTCAGGCCTGTCAAGCAGTGCAGCGGCCGATCGCCTGACAGCAAATATGTTTACGAGAAATAATTTTTGTAAATTTAAATCGCGCAGCGCGATGCGGTCGCATTATGTTCGCTGCGATCAATACTGAATCTATTAACACAATTCCGCTAACTACGCTCTCTTCGTAAATCAGTCGCACGTCACATGTTTCCGTTTTGAGGTTATATAACTATCAATAAGTGCCCAATTGTGCGAATTTCCTTATCAGAAAGTTTGTTTATTGAGTTTTATCAATAGTATGTATAGTACACTAGTATACCGTAAGCTATTTTTTGTTCACGTTTAACCCACGTCTTGCATACGTGGTATTTATATCATTAAGGTAATCTTTATTGCAATTTAATATTTCCTACCACTGGTGAACAAATCATTATCTTTCAGAAAGTGACCTGAGTTTAAGTGGTCAAATGTGGAACATTAAAAGAATGTGCAATTTCATTTCTGCAATGATCAACTGGTGACTGTCATGTTGCCAATGATTGCCAGTTGTAAATACCTTTGGCACTCAAAGGATCAAGGGCCTCTCTATTCTAAAGTGTTCATTCTGTTGTGACCAGGAGAATCTATTCTCTTATATTTAAGTGAGTACAATATTTAATTTTCCATATTGTATTTCACACTAATTTAAAATAGTCACAAGTTCTTCAACTTTTGACAACCAGCAGAATAACTTAGCATGAATTAAATTAACATTTTAAATTGGATTCTGTCTGTATGTGTGGGAATTACATATGCATAGCTTGATGATAGGTAAAAAAAATGGACTTCAAAGTATGTACATACTCAATATGTGTGATTATCAAACAAGTAAAGCTGGTGTAAGTAGATCAAGCATAACGCCAAGAACGTTTGCCAAAGAATTCGTTTGAAGATGCACTGACCTTCATTAGAATAACAGTTAGCCACACAATAAACAATTCATTTGCCTTGTTCTAATTGCCCAAGTGAAATTAGCCAGAGAAACAATATTTTATGTGTTTATCATAAAAATTCGAAGTGCGTCATTATTAAAGTGCGTAGTGCGTACATATTAATTCATAGTGTTACTGTGTTACTACAGTGGAATTAAAATAATAATTACCACTTCCATTCCAACTTAGACTTTGATTGCAGGTCAAGTTTAAACTTTAACATGCGTATAGATACGAGTAATGCATAATATACGTTCAACACGTAAAAATTGAACAGTGTAAATAACAAGCATTTAAGTATTTAGTTATAGCAATCAGTAGTTTGCGCGCAATACTACACAGACATTATTGTTGCATAAGTCACCTTGATCGGAACCTGTTCTGCTCAGTTGAATTACCATACTAACATTTGGAATTTACACAAAAATACTTAAAATACACACAAACTGCAGTGCCGACTTGTGAAAGTTTCCCACAATAGTACATTAATAAAATGTGTGATGTGATTTGTTTATTTACTCTTAGTTTTTGGAACGCGCTTGTTGTTTGAGCGACTGTGGGACACAATCCATGTGTACATTTATCTAATCTATCTTTATCACTTAATTGAACTTTGTTTCTGTAATGTGACGGTTTTTTCGGTCTCTAGGTATACTCGTAGACCGAGTGCGCTAGTAGCCAGACGCGCGCTGCTACCATGTCTGGATCGGGCGATCGTAAAGAGCCGCTAATCGGCGTGATTGACGCCGGCACTCGCACCATCAAGTTCTGCGTTTTTAAAGCGAAGCACACCAAGGAGCTGTTTGAACATGCCGTTGACATTAATCCAATCATTCCGCAAGAGGGTTGGCACGAGCAGGATCCTATCGAGATACTCAATGCCATCAAAACGTGCATCTCGGAAGTGACTAAACAGTGCAATATTGAAGATATCGCTACCATCGGTGTGACGAACCAGCGTGAAACGGTGGTCGTCTGGGATCCACATAGTGGAGAACCGTTGTATAATGCGATTGGTAAGTTTTACGTAATTTTATCCGATTTCATCGTTAGTTGTTATTTTGCCGATAAGAAATGCGATAATCTGACGCTGCATTTTTACAGCTTGGAATGATATTCGTACCTCGTCGACGGTAGATCAGATTCTTGCCAAACTGCCGGATAACAATAAAAACCATTTCAAACAGATTTGTGGGCTTCCCGTTTCGCCATATTTTAGTGCATTTAAATTAAAATGGTTGATGGATAACGAACGGCCGATTCGTCGTGCTGTTAGAAAAGGCAAATGCATGGTTGGCACCATTGACACGTGGATTATTTGGGTAAACAAACCACAAAACGATTATATAGTATAATTTGTCTAACCTCGTGCTCGATTTTCAGAATTTAACTGGTGGAGTTGACGGTGGTATTCACATTACCGATGTAACGAACGCATCTCGCACATTCCTAATGAATTTAGAGACTTTACATTGGGACCCTCTGTTATTGCACACTTTTTCTATTAACAGTAAAATACTGCCAGAGATATTAAGTAGTTCAGAGATTTATGGCAAAGTTAAAGGTACCGAACTTGATGGCATAACGATATCAGGGGTAACATGTCTAAATTATTTATGTCTACTGTAAAATATTAAGATGCGTTTAGATTTTAGGAAACCAGCAATCTGCCTTAGTTGGACAAAACTGTTTTAATCGCGGACAGGCAAAGAATACCTATCGAAGTGGGTGCTTCCTTTTATATAATACTGGCACCTCTGTAAGTTTCTGCATTAATAAATGTTTTACTTTTATTGCAATGAGTAAATTAATTTCTAGAGAGTTCAATCGACACACGGCTTAGTCACAACTGTAGCTTATAAATTCGGTGATGGTCCAGCCACTTATGCCTTGGAAGGAAGTGTTGTCGCAGCTGGTGAAGCCTTAAACTGGCTGAGGGACAACATGGGTTTGATTAAAAATGTACAGGAAGATACGGAATCGTTGGCTCAAGAAGTATTTAATACTGGCGACGTTTACTTTGTACCTGCATTTAAAGGACTTTTTGCACCATACTGGAGAAAAGATGCCCGGGGGATAATTTGCGGTCTAACCGCGTACACAACTAAAAAACACATTATTCGGGCAGCTTTAGAAGCTGTATGTTTCCAAACGCGTGATATCATTGAAGCTATGAATAAAGATTGTGGTATACCCCTATCCAAATTGCACGTTGATGGTAAACTTACAACGAATAATCTTTTAATGCAACTACAAGTATGTTTAGAATATATAAAAAAGACTTACTTAGGACTAACTTGCTGGTGTAATAATTTTAGGCCGATATTAGTGGGATTCCAGTGTTCAGATCACAGTCCCAAGATATTACAGCGTTGGGAGTAGCGATGGCGGCCGGTCAGGCGAAGGGAATTGATGTTTGGGATTTAGATGCAAGAAATCGCGAAGTAGTCCCAAGTGATACATTTTTACCTACAACTACTGAAGATGGTAACGTTACTCTAATACGACCCTTAATTTAATAATAATTGCACTTTTTTCTTTTACTTTCAGAACGTAATGCTAGGTATACTAAGTGGAAAATGGCCGTCCACAGGTCACTAGGATGGGCTACCACAAAGAAGTCACCAGATATGACAGGTAAATTAAAACTACTTCGCATTACATTTACGGAAATAATATTTATCTATTTACTTTCTATAGATGAACGGTTCAGACTTCTGTCGAGTGTACCTGCGGGCCTATTTTTAATTGGAAGCTTTGGAATGCTTGTACTTGCTAGACAATTCCATAATAATACATTGTGAATTCCTAATTGACAATTAAATATTGCTTGGAGTTCATCAAAATAGATTTGTTTTTAGTAAAACCTTGAACCTTTTACCTCTGTACACAAACCGGCTTGCTTTCTGTAAATATTGATTATTTATTAAAATTATGTATATACCTTGTTTATATTTTATAGTAAAGTGCATTTACTAAAAAGCACGCGCCTAAAATCATTGCTTTCAGTTTGTTGTTTACTTCTTGATGAAATTGTACACCATAAAAATTCACTTCTGCAAACTCGTCTCTTAAACGCCCTGTCCACTGACTCGATATAAGTGCGACGTCGCCTAATTTGTTGTGTGTAGTGACATCAAAATTCAACTCTCGGACGCAGCAACGCATTGTGCAACATGGACCCATCACACGAAATATCATCTCACCGCTGGCTAAATTAATAACAAACAGTGGTCTGCAAATGGACCATTGTTGTTCAATGCTACCAAATATCGAGTAATCCGGACAGGAAAGTATGTCCATGGTTTGCATACACCCAAAACAGAAGCAGCAATCACCCCGTAAAAACCTACGAAATCTTAAGATTTCTTTTTGGTCGTGCGTTTGTAGAATGGAGAGTTCAAATTTTCGCAGATCGTTGCAACAGTTACGTGATATCGCGTAATTATGTTCAATTGCATCAAATATTTTCACTCCGTTGTTATCGATTATTTCGTATCGTGTTTCATTTTTCTTTGGTCCGGATGTTTTGTCTTGATTGCGATAAATAAAAACTTGGTTTAGTGAGTTCAGTGGATCTAAGCCGTTAAGAATTCTTTCGACGTTTTGTTCCGTTAGATCAATTGCTTCCAGTTCGCGGTCTAAGATCTCCCCGAACATTTTGTTAAATAGCGCCTGTCAACGTTTGAAATGTGTAAAAACTATAACAATATGAATGACTCGAGTGAAGTTAAACTTTTGTTTTAAGCTTACTTCATTTTCGAAATAATTTTTTACGAAAACTCGTTAGAGAAGTACAACTTCAATAATGCTTACAAAAATAACGATCACCATGTAGACAATGTCCATTATAATAATAATAATAATAATACAAGTTACAATTGTATGGCGAAATATTTACAAGATAAACATGTTTGTTACAGAGTAATATTTTTGTTTAAAACAAGTTTTTTTATTCCTGAGGAAAATATTGAACTCGTACGCAACTTATTAGTTTGATTCACTCTTTTAGTTTAAATAGCTTCTCATCGCAGTTGTACAATTAATATAATTGTTATGTTAGAACCTTATCTTCTGTGCGCGCTTGAATACAACAAATGAAACAGTTTCATTCAGATACGCCGGTACTGCCCATTCTTCCAGTAAACTAAAATAAGTGGTGGAATTACAATTCTAACCCATTCAATGGTACATCCGATATGTTGATATATTTAATTCATAAAGCGCAATAAATATTTTTCCATATTTACACATTATGTACTTTAATTATATTTGTTATTTCGTTTGCTTTGTAAATTGTAACTACATTTCATACACTTGTTCGCGACTCAACGCGCAAACACACAAACGGTCTGGCAACAATTTGATTTGAAACTTGTTAAATGCCCGTAGTTGACGGATTAGTATTGTGCTTTTTCTTTGTTTTCAGATATAAATTAAGTGTTGTAGTAGGACACTCCCCGCGGAAGACAAATGAGAGTGGATGGCCAGCATTGCTTTATTTTGAATTTTACTTTAACCCGTGAAAAACATCTTGATTGAACTATGGCCCCCAAAGTATTTCAGCAAACCTGATTTTCATTAAACTAAGCTAATGTCCTGATCACATATGATTGATCCCACGATGGACAATGAGTTGCTAAAATAAGTCTTGTTATTTGTTCATTTCAGGATGAGAATTTAAACAAATTTCAAACGCGTATACAAATAATTGTACTTATTTCGGTCATCAACCGATTTACCGTAAAGCAAAGCTCGTTTATTACAATGTTTCAACGCAAAGTTTTCAAAAATCGAATATGAGAATACTGACGCATAGAAAAATATATTTTAGATGCAAAAAGTCGAAAACTCCGTCATCATACAAATCGTTTTAATACCTTTTTGCGGATTAAAGTCAATATGTAGTACGAGACAATTGTGAACATGGAATGTGTCGAAGTGAAGATTAATTAGAATACCCCTGACTAGTTTCGTTTCTTATTTTGAATTCTCTTATTGACAACGATGATTCTACATTAATTATTCGTAAAATTTGGCACAAAAAAGGTAGTAAAACAATTCAATCGACATCTCAATTAGTTCACAATGGATCGCAATCGTATTAGACACGTATTATGATAAAAATAGTTTTTTACGTTTAGAATCTTTTAGAAAAATAGTATGAATTTGTAACACTACGCCCTCCACCCCCACTCAGTGGTACTCATGCTATCCATGCTTCGTTCCAAATTCATGTAAAATATCACATGCCATCTCAATATCATTCTTTGTAATGCCCAGCGCTTTGATGACGGCTTCCTTGGAGTATCCTTCGCTGACGAGTTTTTTGATGTAGTCAATGTTGAGGTTTTCATAGTAAACGTTATTATCCTTCGCTGTGAGCGGATTGTACTTAGCTTTCGGCGGTGTCTCAATCTGCATGTTCTCATAGAGGTGATCGGGCTTGGCGGAAAAATTGGGCGTCGTGCTGGACTTCACCGGCACCGCCACACTCGGCTTGACCTTCGAGGGATAACTTTGGTGCCTAGTTTGCGGTTTCGTCGTTATACTATTTACACAGTTCGTGGAACTGATGAAACCACAAATGGTTTCCGGCGAGCTGAGTTCTACGACTTGCTGTCTGTCGGTGGCAACGCCCGCTGTCGTCGCCGCGGAGTTTTCCCTGCTCTCGCGGTGCATCTCCTGCATTGAACTACTTTTGGAAATCGGAGGAACTTCAATAGCGTAGTATGTTAGGTTCGTCACAGATTGCGCTTCGTTGAGCGTTTTGGTGTTCGGTTTTGGGATACCGTTCGTTCGTGAGCTTGATGACGTAGGTATTGTCACCTGCTCCAACGTCGGTGAGCTTTTGCGCGGCGGCAGCGGAGGTGGTAAATTCCACGGCACCACAATTGTTGGCGTGGTGCTACGCCGCACGACACGCGGGCTATTGCGAGGCGACATTGACGGACTTGCAGAAGACTGAGACTACAAATAAACGTGTTACACTGGCACGTATATGCACCACATGCGTCACAAACTCACGGTAAATTCGGAGGACGGGGACAATGAGCTTAATGCACTACCAGTACAATTCCACAATTCACCGGTGTCCTAGAACAGTCACAAGTTTAGTTGTTACGATGACATTGAACCCAAAGGCACACGAAAGCTAGCACTCACCTTAAAGTACAAATAAAGCAAAAACGGACAGTGCGAGTGAGTCAAAAGTAAATACTAAACATGACAAAAGCGACAAAACAAAATTCAAAGTGGGCAAAAATTTACGATGGCATTTCAGATAACATAGTTCCAGTCGTTTCGTAAATTTTCACCCATACTTGAGTAATGGATTAATAAAAATAAATGTATATTTCATATTACCTATGTTTCATTGAAATGTACAGTGCAAAGTCGACCGCAGCGACTTTGTATAAATCGTATAAAAATTAAATCCTTCGATTGCTTGTTTTTCGTTTCGTTTTTCAATAACGTACTAACTAAAGTGTATTAATATAAACATATAATACTGAAAATTAACTTATAATAATCTAAAAGAAACAATCGTTTGATTCCCAATAATTATAAAAACATGATTAAAAGAACACACACATCGGTGCCACGATTGCATGCAGAAGGCGACAAACACAAGGCAAAAGCGCAGCCCCTGGTTCAAATTTTTTGTTTGTTATGATTGTGTGGTGTTCAGCGAGAATTCAGTCAGCGTAATCGTTTGTGCAATGTTTTTGTTGTACCTCAAATTCAAGATCGTCGTCGTCAAAGTTGGCGGAGTTCGGCGACGATCCGACGGCGCCCTTGGAACGATTGTGCGATTTGCGCGGATCGAACGGATCAACGACGATTTGTTCGGTGCCTTTGATTTCTGCCCGACAGAACGGACAACCCTGACCTTCCGAATCCTGATTTTCAGTAAAAACACAAACAACATCTATCAGAAAACATCATAAAGTTAGAGACACATAAAAACGTGGAGTGGGTTGATGATAATGACAGGATTACTACTAGTATTTGAACTCGGTTCAAGTTTTGAGCTTTTGTTTAAGCCCGCACTTACGATCTGCCACGACGTCAAACAGGGCGTGCATAACAAGTGCCCGCAGGGCTCTATTCGAACATCTTTGTCATTCTCGGCGCAAATTTTGCACAGCTGGAATGTGCTGCCCATCTCGCAGTACAGCTCGTATTGCTCCTGTGTGACGGCGATGTGATCCTCTGGAGTCGGCTGCACGGCCCAGCTTAGGTCGGGATTATTAATGCGGCCGTCCGGGAATTGATAGCTGCAACGCAAACGAAAACACATTAATCCATTTCGAACGCGGGGCGCCCTGTCGATTGCGAGCTATTACTCACAATCCTTCCCTGTAGCCATCCAGCAGCGCCTGGATGAGACTTTTGTTCTGCGGGATCGTCTGAAGGATCTCGCCGTCCGCGGTCACGTACCCGATGGCCCATTGTCCCAGCCGCGTGCAGGAGAGTCGAAAAACATAGCTACCCGCTTTGTTGATGTAGCGCTGCAGCCTTGCTTTCACTTCGTCGTACGTCAGAAACGCTACGTAGCCGGGATGCGTGACCGCTAATATTTTCCAATTTCGAAGTAACGTCGCCCAGGGTTGGAACAAACTATATTACAAAAAACCCAATTATTCAACAAACCCAACCACATTAATTATAGAATTGCATACCGTGTGAAGACGTCGAATTCAAAATTTGATATGTAATCATTGCATGTTAAATCTATCGTCGACTTCAACGCCATCGCCTCCAAGCCGGTACTAATCGGATGAACTTTATTCAACTCTTGTCGGAAAATCTTCCAGGGAACGAGCGTGCTGAATAATTAATAAATATAATTAATCAACGTGTCAAGATGCCTCGCGGTCTTTATAACACGCGTAAAACACAGACGAAAAAAAAAATCCAAAACCTAATTAACATTAACACCATCAACATCCGATGGCCAATTTCTACGCTAGGAGTTCTCCAAACTTTAGAATAATAATCAATCCGCTTACGCACGACGCCAACATATTATAAATTCGCCATGGAAACTTCGAAGATAAGGCAATTAATTTTAATTATACACAACGTAAACTTCAGGCATTGCGAAGTAAATGCAATCTTGTTAGCTAGAGATGGAGAGAATTCATCGGGAATACCGTCGAGCAGAGTTAACTTCTATTCGACAATCTACCTACAGAGTCCGACGCCATTAAAACTATACGCCAACGTGTCGTCAACTTCCTGGAAGAGCGAATTGATTAAAAACATACATTTCCTCCACTGGGGTGGCGGTCTAACATTCACGGTTTGTATTGTCAATGTCAATTTTGCTTACGAACGGATATCAAATTAATGTTGTTTGCGTTCTGTTTACAGGATTCACGAGAGTATGCTGCTTATTCCTGCATTCAGGCGAGGATTATCCCTTTCGATTGCGACTACATCTCGTGTTTGTCATCGATTCTATTTATAACATGGCATGGAAATGATGAATCGAGCTAATTAATGGTGCGCAGTTTTTTTCTCTCCATATATCCTTCGTCATCTTAGCAAGATAGAAAAAGATAAAACACGCCATGAGCGCGGATTCGAATCGAATGCAGCGAAAGGATGTTTGAAGAATATTAATCAGAGGAAGTCGAAGTTAACTGTAAAAAGATAAACGCGCAGTGCGATAGTTTACCGAGTTAAACGTGAAAATAATATTTATTTTAATTTCTAGATGCAAAGTTTAATTTTAAGTTGAGATTAATGCAAGTTGAAGGTCGTCAAGTTTAGTGTGTTATATTTTTCGGCGGGCACATCTACCTGTGCGCCATGTGCGCAGTGAATGAATGAACTTTGTTTATGTATTTTCAGTAGGTACGCATCGAAAGGCGGAATTTGGCGCTAAAATATTTATACATGTACGCGAATACGTCTTGGACGGTGCGAACGCAGACGCAGACCGACAGTCGGTTGCGCTAACGGGAATTTATTTTAATTTGCGAACTTGGGAGAGCAGATGAGTGAGACGACGGCGATATTTTAATAATATCCTATCGAACGAATAGGTTGATAGAACCGAAGTGAGTTAAATTGAAAATTTGATATTGAATTTGCGGCAAGCCGAAAGCCGAGGAAACCTCTTAGAAAAATAAACGCGAGATGGAAACGGAAATTACTTTTTTACCATTTGCATTGTGGCCGGTGCCGCCGAGTCTGAAGTGGGCATCATAACGATAACATCTGAATCAATATTAGCGCGCGTTTTTATAGATTATAAATAGCTTGATTAATTTATTTTACTGTTATTTGACAAAAATCTTAATTTCTGCAAACGCGGATAACTCCCAAGCATTTTACTAAGTTTGCTGAGCAAATAAGCGAGTTTGAAAATTAACTAAACGGCAAAAGCTAATAAAATTACACGAAAATATTTACAATAGGCCGAGTAAAAATATTTGTTTATTTAATTCGACGGTAAGGAAGCTGCGTCATAAACTGAGTGCGTCTTCGAATAATAAATAAACCATATTAGTATCTTAGTAACTACCGGCAAAAGCAGTGCAAGAAAAAAAAAATGCGCGCACGCCGCAGGAAAACTAATCCCGGCTCGGCAGTGAATCAATGAATGAGTGCACTAATTTTAGTTTTACAACATCCGTCACGAGCGATACGTCCGCGCACGGCAGCGCGGCGTTCATCGAAAAATCACACGTTCCTGGTGCGCATTTAATTTTTGCCCGAAGTGGGAAATTTCCATTGAAAAACGCGTGGAAGCTGAGATACTCGTGGGGCTATGCTCACACAAACAAACGTCCAAGTGAGCTTTAGCGTCACGCCAGCGCGTCTGGTTAATGAATGAAAAAGGTTTTTATGATTGCGAAAAGTTTTAATCGGTCTCGCGCCCGGCGTTCGTCCTTCTAAGCGGTGTGCGATATCAAAGTGCTCCACTCCTGCGAATGGGACTTGGCAATTACACAACGTATTTGTTATGCCAGTATACCAGGGCGGTCGCTATTCAGCAGTCGACTCGTAGATATAGTTCTCATGCGAAATCTCCAAGCGAGCGATGCCGCTTTGCGTGGGCCATGAATGAAATATTGATTGCAGCCAAAAATACTATAACAGACTTCAATGGCCCGTCGCGAGCAGAATACGACGCGCATTCGCAGCACACTGTCGCGAACATTTCGTCTTCGACGACAAACAAATGAATTTGATAGACATAAACAACTATTATTTCAAACAGAAATTGCATCTACTCTCTTGAATCAATAATACAAATGTACACCGAGAAAGCAATTCAATTTTATTTCTTGCAGAAATATGATATTTCATTGTAGAAAGAAAGAGTTTTATGAATTTCTATGAAAAAAAGTTCATGCAATATCAGTCGAAATGCATCAAGAGTAAGAAAAGTAACGGTTGTCTTATCAAAGGCTGAGGGCGGAAGTGGAAGTTTGATATCGTCGCAGAAGGTATTTTTAGCACAAAAATGTTGAACACAATGGGGAATTTAGCAATTGTTTGATAGCGCTTGCAGATATGGGCGTCAAACAAATCGGGTGCATTTGTTAAATTGCTTAGTAGCAACATCAAAACTTGATTGATCTTAGCAACAGCTTGTAAGACATTGCCACACAATAGTTTGTAAGAAAATCAACTTTGATTCCGACGATATAATCTCAACTATATTGAACTCAAAAAATCGAATTCTCACCGACACAAATCAATTACCTGATAAAATTTAAACACCAAATTGAGATAAATAACTATTTGCAATTCACGCATTGATATACTATCTCAACAGGAGTGCAATGTGACACATTGCGCAAACTTTCATTTCACAACAAGTATATTAATTTGTTTGATTGATATTAAGCTAAGTGGTATGAATCAGCATGACCTGATGCATTCGTGGGCGCTACCTCAATCATTACCTTCGCACGGAGGTTTCGCAGGTCGGACCCGCGCTATTCGCAGGCGTTCAATGAATGAATGAATGAAGCAGCACGTCAGTAGCACATGCGATTATTTTAGTGCATGCAGAACATTCCAGTTCAGTATCCCACCTTATTAATCACCTCAAAATATGAACAATAACACACAATACAGGTCTTATCATTCATTAACAACGTTATCCGTGTTTTTATGATAGTAATCATAAAAAACATTGTAACAATGTCGAACATGTTTAAATTTCTTTTTGATATTGAGTTTGGCATGATTGTGCAAGTGTAATATTACATACCAATTGTGAAAAATATTCATTTCATTAACCTAGATGTTCATATCGATGCACTGGTGTTAATTTCACCTGTGAATTTCTAATTGCAGCTGCTATGAATTATAAGAGATATATTTAAAAGACTGACACGCAAACTAAATGAAATCTGTCGTTGAAACATGAAAAAATAAGATTTATTAAAATAGATTTGTATCTGCTGGTGTGAATCATTGACCGAGATTTACTTTAAAAGATGGTGTAATACTATTTGTCAGGCCAAGTTACATCAATTAATTCAATAAATTCAATGTGTTTTTAATTAAATATGCTTTTAAATCAAAGAAGACTTGGAAAACAGGTCAGTCAACCCGAAAACGTGCCCCCAATAATCCTAAATTCGCGAATATACGATCCTCAAATGATACATGCTTTTGTGAGTTTATTTGTTTAAAATTGATTGCATTTTTTATCATTTGAGTACTGTGACGTTTTAAGTGGGTATAATTGTAACCAAGGTTGAGGCGAAATTAATTTCCAGCATAAAAAATGATCAATTTACAAAAATTCATGAAAAATATCGCACTTTTATACTATTTCACCATATTTTGTGACTAATAGTTAGTGTCAAATTTTGTTTGGTCGGTTTTAAAACATACCAGACTAAATTATTAATACCTTACTCCACAATATGCTAAAATTGCGTCAAACAACTAACAAAATCCTCGCTAATTTTAAAGTAACTAGGATTATACATTTGTTATTTTCAACACAAAACCAGGTTGATTATACAACAAATAGATTCAGAACGTCTAAGTGAATACCCAAAGCTTGATAGTGCTATCAGTAAATAAGCCTCCTGTATGTACAAGATTTATGAATGATTCATTCAATTTGCCTGCCTAGTGTTAATGAATGATGTACAGCTATGTGTTGCTTCTGTAAATAGTGGGAAAAACTCAAACATTCATTCAGAATACAAATCCAAATATTTGTAGAAGATAATAAATTAATTGTGTTTGCACATTGATGTACCTAAAATAAATAGAACTTTTGTTTACCTGTTACTGAAATTTGACCTCCAGAATTCAGCAGCGTCCGACTTCGTTATGCGAAACTGATCGCCGGCGAAGAGGCCGTTGGGAAAGAGCGCTTTCAGTTCACTTAACATGTGGGAGAACACAAGACTGAGTTTTGTTAGATTGCGCCGGTAATGAGAGTTCTCATCAAACATCTTCTCCTTGCCCTCCTTAAATAACTTGATTGCTTGCTTACACTTGCGCATTAAATTGATAATAAATATGTTAAAATGTTCATTGCTATGTAACTGCATCATATTGTCCTCATACTTTGAATAAATAAGTTTGAGTCTTTGATAAGTGTCAGGCAGAATATCCAGTATGAATGGGGGTGAGTTCTTCAGGTTCATCTTCTGATGCTGACACAGTTTCACCACTTTGTCCATCAGTTTCCAGGTCTTATCCAGCGTGCGCTTGTCGGTGGCATACTTGGGATGTGTGCACACGTCCGAGAAGGCGCCCTGCAGCTTCGAGAAGATGGTGCAGAGGTTCTTGTGCTGGATGGGCCTGTTGCGGCCTGCCATTTTGGAGGAGCGTCCGTTCGTTGCGCGTATTATATAATCGGCGGCGGCGATGCACTTATTGGAAACGGCGTCGCGACGAGCACATCAATCGGCGCGCCTCGCACAATCGCACGGTTTTTCGACGGTCGCGAACCAATTTCATTACGACTTATTGCCGAGCGATACATTTATGACAGACACGGTTGACATTTTGTGTGTTTGTCCTTCATCAGCGGCTCGTCCGGGTTTGTCTCTCGCACATGTGAACTTAGCACAGCCCGAGCGCGTCAATGCGTTACCAACTTCATCCCCACCATTTATCACTAGATCTGGTAATAAACTAAGTTTTGCTTTAAATTTATCAATTTAACTCTAAACTAATCACAATACACAACAACTCATATCTAACATTATTAATCACAATGTACTTTCTATAATCAGCAAAATTAATTCAAAATAATTGCAAATAATTTAAAAAAAGTATATTATTTGCGATGGAACAAGTGTTTTGGATAAATTTTACTTAAAATTGATAACAACTCACTGCAATTTTATAAATCTAGTCTGTATTATTAAATTTTATTTAGAAGTTACGTAAGATTTGGGTTGAAACGTCGAAACCTAAACTTAAATCAATATTTCCCCAATCTTCTCAATGTAAAGTCTGCGTTAAACCTAGGCAACCAAACATTCAGGCGCGGCGGATGTGACGCATAACTCAAAATATAATTTCCGTTTTTAACTAGGCTCGCCAGACTTGCTGAGAGATTACAATCTTGCAAGGTAGCAAAGCTGCTAAACCTAAAACTTTGTTAATAGCGGTCTATTTATAGTTATTTACCTGCTTATCAGTAAGTACTTCTTCCGTGCATTAATTAATTGCACTTCTAGATTAGATTAAAATGTCTCAAGTTAAAACTTTATTAGGTATAATTTATGTCTATTTATGTTCAGTACTTATAATTACAAAAATAATGTTTTTGTCTGTTAGGTCTTTTATATTATATTATTTTTTGAATATAGTTATATATGAAAGCTATAGATATTAAATTTAGATTCAAATTTACGACTTGAAACCCAAGCGATTTATAAATAAACCCAATGACAAAAAAGTCAGAATTTCGACCCAAAAGCATAGAGTAAATTGGGCGTTTAATAATGCATAACAGTAATATACTTTAGGATGGTTCGTGATGTATAGCTCCTCGGCTAAGGCTCCAGGGTTGAGTGTCAAAGCAAGCCAGAAAATTATATTCGAGTATTTCATTTTTTTTTCCATTCTCTTGCCCTTCCCAAGTTTCGTCAATAATAAAAAATGATATATTTTCTGAATCTATAGTCCATGTAATAATTTTTGAAAGCTGTGACACCACTGGATTCACAATTCGAAAATAGAGAAGCAGAGCAGTCCTTTCGAGTGTGGGTAGATGATATATTGCAAAATCGTTGTTTCACAATCACTACTAGTGGCGGCTGTATTCCAGGAGGGACATATGACCAACAGTATTAGCGCTAATGATTGACGAGCGTCCAGCTCGTCCAGCTTTCCAGCCTGCGGGTTCTCTCCTGACGACAATTTAACACGAAACAATTACGTATTGATTTTGATGTTTCCCAATACCAATACGATGTACGATCATAATGTTCTAGTAATGACCGAAAGTACGTTGGACTCTTGGCTATAATACTATTGTCTCTATGTGTGTATGTAGGTAGGTATTCCCAAATGACGGCAATTGACTTACATTTGTAATAGAATTTTATTAGGAAATGGTAGTGTTTTGCAATGACTCTAAGGAAAACATGAATATTTAAATTGTGTAAGTAATAACTTGGATAAATAAAAGAGCAAATGCAAAATTTATATCCAAGACTTGAAAACCTGAAAAGAGAGGAGAGGAAAACCTAGAAACGGGCAACTGGACTGCTGCTATTTACGGACTACCCGCAAAAAGTGGTGGGGGCGGCGTACTAGGAGGAGTTACGTAGTTGGTTGGGTGCAAGGGCAAAAGGGTAAGGTACCAGGTAAGTACCCATATTAGTAGAGGAGGTACCTTTTTGCTATTGTGGATAAAGTTGCAAGCTAGATAGTTTTCAACAGATTGTCATTTAATGCTATAAAATGTAAGAACCAAGGTTAGTTTTAATAAGTTTGTAATTAAAAGTAATACTAGACCATATTTTATTACAGAACTTAAGATAAAAACTTAATCGAGTAAGTTTTAACTACTTTGGCAATTCAAATAAGCTCACCATCTTTAGCTCCACTCGCAATTCTCAATCAGAATCAAAAGTATATAAAGTACTTAGTATCTGAAATTGCTACCCTCATGCAAAATAAACTTTTATGTTGTGTAAGCATATTTAGATAAGAATACAATAAAAATCTTCATCCCAAAAATAAAAAGTTAACATGAAATCCTAATTAACATCTCGCAAAACCACAAAAGATTGAAAGAACACCAACGTACAAATACAAAGTATTAACTATTCTAGGAATTTCAAACAAAACGAAAAAACAAGTGAATTACTGCATGACGTGCATCTAGCAACATCCAACGATGAAGAGGACTTGGCAGCAGGAGCGGCCATGAGCCACGAGCATGCGATCATTACCAGCGAGGAAAGACAACGACGAGCCATCGCAAACGACAGTTGTCCTGTAATGTGCTTCGTAATCGCGATGCAAACGAGGCGACCAACAATGGCAATGAAAACGACGTAGTGACAATGCGCGTATGCGATGTGAAATGCAAACGGGGAATAAGCACGAATAAAATCTAAATGCACTGCGGGTGTACAATGTGCGACCCGGGCATAAAGCACGTCGGGTTTGCATTCGATCGAAATAAATTTGACAGTTTGATGCAGGACAGCGCAAGCTAAGAGCAATTGTTACCAGGAATTACAGATTGCAAGTGTAGGGATGATAAAACACTGCATTTTACGATAGTCTATAAAGTAGCACTTTTGTGGTGACATTTCAACGTGCAATGTTATTTTTAACATCACTAATGACAAACAAGATAATTATCTACCGTTATTTTCATGTTGTACTTAAGTAGATTTAATAACTTAAAGTATACCGATAACATAAAATTATACTTTAGATTCCAAATGTAATTCACACCAAATATAAACTTTGCCGGTGATAATTTATGGTTAGAAACAAATGATTGCACCCTTTATACCCTTTACACCTACGTAATCAGCATTCCTCGAAATCGATCATGCAAGCAACGCTCGGAGCGACGTAAAAGTTTTATTTTATTTTCCATCGTAAAAAAGCGTTCCATAAATATGTATGTGTTTTCCACTGCTGGGGAATGACGCCGTTGATGGTGGCGGAGGCGGTGGCCGCAGCGGTCGCAGGACACGTTCGCTATTCAAAAAAAAGCGTCGTGCGCGCGGCTGGAAAAAAACGCACTTGGTTGACACGCGCTCGCGAGCATTAACCAGTCCCAGCGAATTAAATCGATATTTCATATAATCCTTGCATAAATAATGGCATTTGCCGTACAACAGAATAATTCACAACAACACTCGCCGTAAGATGATAAAATATTTCCTATATCGGAACAAATATAAAATTCAGAAGAAATAAATTTAATTTTTTATGTTCTGCAAGTAATTAATTTCTTAAAGATTTATTTTAGACATTGTTTGAAGTCATAAATTCAGTAAAAATTTATTCATGAATAAAATCTATTTTATTATTTATTTTTATTTTATTTAGTATTACTTTAGTTCTGTTTGCAAAGAAAATTGTTTTTTTCTTGTTTAAGATTCTTTTGATCATAATATAATGCCACGAATAATTTTTCATTTATATTTACCCTTTTACCTACTTGATGTTATAATGCACAACGTAAAATACGGAAAATGCAGAAAAATTGTTGTGCTTACGAGGACAAAGAGACGGTAATTGTAGTTGGCATTCCATTATATTCATTCTAACCCTCTAAAAGGTTTCTGTGTATTCGCATGGCGTGCGAATTCAGCCTGTTGCATAAAAGTTGCATTTACCATTGTTCAAAATTATTGCACGAATGTCTTAATGCACTTTAGTTCAATTATTTGAAACAAATTAATGTTAATGCTTTGCATGTTTAACATCTATTAGAGTAACATAATTTGCCTTATTATTTAATAAACACAAATTACTGACAAATGCAAAACCTCGTAGCAATAAATCACGTAAAACTAACTTTATATTAATAACTTCATAAAAATAAAAATTGAATCCGTAAAATTGAGATTTAAAAACCGGAACACGTCCGTTGGTAGAACTTCAAAGTTCGTTTCGAAGCTTTATAACTTCAGACGTTAAATTCTCTAAATTTTGAATAAGATAGTTAGAGAAACTTCAGAAAAGAATAAATTCACGTATAAGTTGGAAACGAGTTTTTTTTCAATGAAAAAATAAATTCAAACATGGAATCTTGTAATAAAGTTAAATTAAATCATCAAAAATATTTCCCCTTTTTGCAAACCTTAATTAATCCATGATAAGTTGCGCCAGCTTGCAGAAAAAAACGTGTAATTTATTAATTTGGGAAAGAATGTGGGTCCATCGAGGATAATTTTGGAAAAGCAATTTTCGCCCAAGTATTCTTCGCCCACCTCTTTTAACGTCTTCCAACCCTTCCTGATCGGTGGCGAAGTACGTGGGCCGGTGGTAGGCGCGCGGTCTCCGAACACGAAAACCGTTAAGCAGCGAGAACGCGAACGCGAAGGCCCGCCGAAGGATGTGCGGCTCATTTCCTGCTGCGTTTGCGCAGCGCCGTCGTCGTTGCGCCACTTCGGGAAAGGACCTCTGACGGTGTGCGTGCCCACTCGCTACCCCTAGTGCGGCGCGCCAGCCAGCAGGAGGACCGCTGCGTACGGTGTGCGGACCTCGTCGCAACTTGCGTCTTTTCGCGTGCGATTTCCTATCGCTTTCGATCGTCTTCGATTTTCCGGGGGCGTCTTTAGCAATCCGAGCCCGAGTCGACGAATCGAACAGTTTGACAAAGTTTGTGCGACGTTCAACACCCCAGCACCACCAGATCAACAAGAGCAACAGATTTGCGCTGAAAGGGCGAACGCGGCCGTCGTGTACACGAACTTGTTTGTTGCGATATTTACTTTCTGAGGATATAAACGCAGATACTCTGTAAACGGACGGGATAGACGGGAAAGTTATCAAGGTAGAGGGAAGTCACTTTCGACAAGATGGGAAAAAAGAACTCCAAACTTAAGCAAGACACCATCGACAGGTTAACTACTGCAACATATTGTAAGTACACAATTTAAGTTAATAAAAAGTAGTAACTTTCAAATAAAAACTACAAAAGTGTGATGATATATTAAGTTCAAACATCTACGTCGTGGATAAATTGCTTTTGCGCGTGAGTTGGCTGATGTGAAAATTTATGTAGGTGGTGAACATCGAAGGTGAAGTCAAAAAGTCAAGAGCATTTATTCAACTTTACTGGACGCAAATTGAAAACTAAATTGGCATAAACTTTCCGTATGGTATATCTACAATATTTATACGCTTTCCTGTCATTGAAATGCATGCATTTTTCGACAAAAATCAAAAAAATACAATTTTGTGCGCCATAAACAAAAAATATGATTATTGACTTGTTTTGTTATAGAAAATTATGATTTTTATGATAAGAAAATGTTATGTCAGCAGGATAAGTCAGATGCACCAATATTGTGTGAAATTTTGAATATCCAAAAGCTCAAAACGAGAATCCATTTCTTCGCAGATTAAGCTCATACGTTTTAGTTCGCTCGTCTGTGGACGAGTGACGCCGACTCGAGTAATACCAGATCGGCTTACTTTCCCGAATAAATATGATTTATAGCTGGGATACCAGACGCAGAAAATCCAACACGAAGGTCGTTTCTAGCTCCTCGTCGGTACTTTACTGTGAAAATATTTGCGAGATGTCGTACGAGTGCAAACTATTGCGTTGAACGTTCTGTCACCTTAAAAATACCAAAAAAATTCAACCGATGTGATTTTAGCCTCATTTAGTAAAAGCACTTGTAGGCAATAAATAATTTTCTTTTCAAAAAACACCCTAGCCTCAAGTTAGCGTGAATGAAAAGCTAGTGGTTCCCATCCAACGCACATTCACGCACAGAAACATAAATATTCAAAGAAGCGAATGCCATGTGTATTTTGCGTGCAGATGGAACGAGGGCGAGTTATCCACACAGACAGCTAGGGAGAAGTAGAAGATCGCTGCTCTTGAACGCGCGCCGGGAAACTGAAAAGTTGGTGGAGCTGCCGCATAGAAAATGAGTTGTGCGCGTGTGAGTCGTGTGTGAATGGCGAACGTAAAGAGCGAAAATGTTCTATTTGCCGAGCGCGGAGACGGATAGACATGGAGATGCTCTCGCCGGATCGAAATAAATAAAGCCAAACCGAACATGAAAGTTTGCAATCCCCGACTATTTCACGCTCTTTCTACTCCGGTTTAGTTTTCTTGCGAGCAGTTTTCCATTCCGGTGCGCCTCGCCGAAGGACGCTCGTGCGGAAGATAGCTCGGCTTGCCGCGGTTCAAAATCGATATGCGATGCATGAAAAGTCGAGGCTCGAGAGGCTGCTGGCTTTTGTTTATTTGAATAACAACATCAAGACTGCAAACGAAACGAAATTTAATCATATATTTACGAATAACCTAACCACCACCAAACCAGTAACCAGATATTTTCAACCAAAAATAAATAAATCCAAGTTTATTTTGAGATATAACATTATTTATGATTTACGAACAAAATAAACCATTTTTAACCAAGATTACGTCTTGAATCTTGGAAGTACCTTGAACTAAAACTTTGTTGACAGCTGTTGGGCAAATTTCGACCTACTTATGAAACTATCGGACGAAATGTTGGTTTGATCAAGTCAGAGCAACGTTATGTTGCTTCTATCAAACATCACATCCGCGTAAATTAAAAATAAACATTAATATTGTCTCTCTTGAATTGATTATGCCCGACTCACCCTGGCATTCATTAGAGCAATGTTTGTCTAATAATAATACATCAAGGAGTGGCACGCGAGATTAGGGCATCCACGCATACATATTAGGCATGTTTTGTTAAGAGAACAGCAAAGGATTATTCTGACTGCGCATATTTTGACTATGATAATTGTGTTGCTTTAGACGCTAATCCGTTTTCCTTGTTTGCTTTTCCACATGTAATATTATAACGTTTTTTATGAATACTTTTTGCGAATACTAAAAGTTAACTATCTACGAAAATAGCTTTTGATTGTTTATTGCCAGAGGCAAAGGGATTAGTTTCATGAGGCATATGCATAAAAGGACAGGGTTCGTCGTTTAACCTTTAACCTCTTTTCAAGTTGCTCCCGCTATCGATTTCTTCGCGGCTCGACGCTGTTTGGAAAAGTGTTGCGTGAAGAGAATTAGTAAAAAGGATCGAATGGGTGTCAAAAGGTGGACGCGGCCTACACCAGCGAACATTATGGGTTTATTTCTTCCGTGTGATAGATACAGGTATATTTAGACGATGCGATAAATGTTAATAGAAATGGCGCCTTGAAGTTCAGCGTGTGAAAACGTTCAGAAAATATTTAGAGAAATTTAATACGAATGCCGCGTGCGTCATAAATGTGCTCCCTATAAAAATCTATTATTTCGGAGACATTAATTTCGCGTGGACAAGCGTGCACGCCAAGTTTTAAGCAGTTGAGTATTGTGAGAAGTGAAAAAACGTTTCATGCTGCACGCAAACGAAATCCGCCCCGAAGTTTGTGGACGTGTTGCTTGCCAGTTGTGTGAAAATTGCGAATTGGGAAAAGTCCCTGGTAAACGACGCAAGACGAACGGTTATAACCCGACGAGTCGCATTAATTTTCGGTTTGCGAACGCGTTAAAGCGTGGCAAACGCCTGGAATGGCAATACTGATATCGTAAAGAGTTCCCAAAATGGCGTTAACAACAAATCAAGTACATTATCTGGTTTATCAACTTCAATAATAGGTAATTACGATTCGCCAGTGAAATTGTCACTTTTTTTCATCGAAACGGAACACAGATAATCATAATTAGATCTAAAACGAAATAATGTATAACATTATGTTGAAATTTATTGTATGATGTTTAATAGTAATAAAAGTACAAGTTTCCATGAACACCATCATTTTATACAAAGGATATACTTAGTAAATATTAAAATAATGTGTAAATATATTACCACTCTAAATTATTTTATTATATTTGTAGTTTCATCAATAAACAGGCAACAAACAAAAAAGAAAACAAAATTTTCCTCATAATATCCCGCGGTGTAAGCGATAAGGCTATATAAATACAAGTCAAGTTTGTTCTTGTGTTCCATGGCAAGTAATTTGATTTAGGACTCTTGATTAAAACTTATTTTAGGTCATTCAGAGCTCTAATCTTATATATCTTGCTAAATAAAGTTATTTCCAAAGAATAACGAACAATAAATGAATATATTTTATTTGTATTTATGATAAACTCAATTTGACTAAATAAACTTTCAAATGCTGAGTTTGTTTAAGTTCCTCAATGGGTAAATGGTCTTTCTATGTTAATTATCCCATGGTCATTAAACCGTTTATCAGCTGAGGCTGAAGTGGCTTCAATATTGGCCTCATTGGAATTGCACTCAGTCATGCATAAACATCACAAATGAAGCTCTCCGCAGATGCCCTTAATATTCGCGATTCAACCAAACCCGGAAACCCGGACAATCTGTTACTATGCAAATGATGTACTTGCCAACTCTTGTCGCCGTCAAATATGTGCGACTACTGAATTTACAAGCGAAATTGTTATGCAAGTGGGCACTCTCACTACGGTTCCACTTTCTGCTTCGATTTTGCGACTTTTGTTTCTCATGCACATTGACTTTGTCTACTACTTCATTAAAAACGGAATTAATTCATCAATTTTTAAGCAATTTGTTTACGCTTGAATTTATGCTTAGAAATAAATCTAAAGAAGAAAAATAAAAAAAGGAAAACGAAATTTTGTTTAAAAATAGATATTTCCACCCGTTGGTCATGATGATATACCAAACTTTTTTTTGTTTTGCGAAAAAGGTGCAAGAACCGTAGGCAAAATTTATTTTTCCTCGAAAAAAAGGTAGAAAATGTAAACCCACGCATAAACTTTAAGAAGCTTCTGGAGTTGTGGGTAATTTATATTCGACACATAAGATTGAGAAATGCCTGCGACGTGACAGGTGATTTTCACCTTACTTATGCAACGCATAATAAACCTATTTTTACCTGCGTCAAAATTTTACTTTCTCTCAACCTCTACATAATACGAGTACATATTAGGGTTGCGTTGAGGTTAAATTTTACAAACAAATAGGTTGTTATTATTGTTGTTGCGGAACAGGATGCCGAAACGAATTTCCCATAAACATTTACGTTAACATCCTTTCACTATCCGTTTTAGTTGGCGTGTTTGGATGTAAGCCGAACTAGACAATGTAAATGGATGAAGGAAAATCAAGTTCTGCATCCGAAACCGCAACATTTCAACAAGAAGAAGAAGGGATAGATAGCGTAGCGCAAAATTGTTATGCAAGTTATTATGATTCTCGGCGAACCCGAAAACCACCGCCCAAGTAAACAATTCTTCAGCGCACATCTCCATCCACATCCTTTTCGCTTCAATTTCGTTTAGTGGCAGCTTTCTTGGTAACTTTGGAATTCTTGCGTTTTCTGTTTGTGTTACATCGGCGAGAATGCGTAAATTATACACGAAACTATTTATTCAAAACTAATTCAAATTATACATCCGTTTAGAATGCAGGACAATTAACCCACTTAACATAAATTAAGTTGGCGCAAAAGCAACCCGACACGGCGCGACGTCATTTATCATGGGAGAGAATCAGGGCGGCTAACTTTGCATAATGAGTCACGATATTTTAGCGTGAAGAAAAAAAATGTTGCCTTTTCTAAATACAAATACAGAAAGAAAACAAAAACGGAATTAACTTTAGACATAAATTTGACTTAAAATTGTTTTATCAACTTGAAAATCGCGTTAATGTGTTCATTCCAACAAAAAGTTTACACATTAATATAAATATTATGTTCTTACAAAATTTTATTCATGTTACGAGGTATTAAATACGCATAATTTACTTCAAGATATAAGTAATATAAAATTAGCAGATTTTTTTTTAAATTTGAAAATAAGATTATATTTGCGCTGAATAAAACTAGTTGTGCATTGTTCTATCCCTGCGATACATTCAAACGTC